TTTGACAATTCGAGAGAACCTTGAGTTCTAGACATGTTGTAGCACAAGATAATTAGTGTGCAGACCATTTTCATTTATATAGTGCTCTGTGAACACAAATTAGTTAGCATAAATCAGTTAAATGACGAAAAATTAGGTGTCTATTTACTTGTGACCACTCAGTGTATATTACTTATAACGATCAGAATGTATTGTGTCATCAGTTGGGTTCCTTCGCTATCAAAATACTTTCGGCCTCACGAGGTTTGACCACCCAGGAGGCTTAGGCAAGTCCATAATCCGTATACTAAGTTATCAATCCTGAAGAATCATTGTAATAAAGTAATGCACATAATATTAAACTAGAAAAAATAGAAGAATAAAAGTAGATACATTAAATATTCTAAACAACCTTAGGTCAAAGTTTCACTTAGTTAGGCTGATGTCCAATTAAAACTTAGTTATTTCAGCTAAAAACTAACACACGATGGTAAAAGTTATACTTGGCTCGGTCAACATAATAAATTTAGGTTAGTCGTAACAATATAATGTTACGAAAGTGGAACATTATAACAATGGTGATCTAGCTGTTGCTAATCAAAACATGTTAAAGTGATATAGTTCTTGCTGAGATAAAAATGACATCTGCCTCTACAACTGATAGAAGATTATGTTTTACTTTGACTATATATACGTCTCTGTGTGGATGTAAAAATTTTCGAAGTTGTCGAACTACGTTTCCTTAGTACTTTGAGAAGGAAAAACTAATAAATTATTTTTGTTTATAAACGTAGATAAAATATTAAAACCATACCAAAAAGTTTCTTATCACCTGTGTGAAGAACTTTAACAATTGTTGACAGCACTTGATATGAGTGATCAAAAGTATTCGGTGTTTATTACACAACATAATTGTTCTGCTAATAGCTTTGTTTGCTATTTGTAGCCTCGTTAATAGTGTTCAGTCAGCCTAGGAGGGACAAATAATGTATACTAAACATCTTTTAGCATTTCGTGTAACGAATTTAAAGCTAATTCAGTACCTCTTTTCATCTGAAAATGACACATGGCTTTCGTGAAGCTCCCAATAGAACCTACGAACGAAAGGTTATAGTTAAGCAAAGGGCGCATATATATATACAATCAAATCGGATATGTTTAAACATGTGATTTATTGGTGTGTGTTTGTATATATATATAGAAATGAATAAAAACCCTATAACCTAAGCGCTTTCGAAAGGTGGATCTTTCTTCAGAGACAAACTTCTAACATCATGAATATATATATAGGATATGTCTGTATATACAAAGGTAGATTTTTTCGTGCACATATACTTAGACATTATGTGCATATACATAAATATTGGCCCGGCATGGCCAGGTTTTTAGGGAGCTCGACTCGCAATCTGCGGGGCGCGGGTTCGAATCCCCCATCACACCTAACATGCTCCCCCTTTCAGCTGTGGGGGCGTTATAATGTAACGGTCAATCCCACTATTCGTTGGTGAAAGAGTAGCCCAAGAGTTGGCGGTGGGTGGTGATGACTAGCTACCTTCCCTCTAGTCTTACACTGTTAAATTAGGGATGGCTAGCGCAGATAGCCCTCGTGTAGCTTTGCGCGAAATTCAAAAACAAACAAACATAAATATCACATTGATTTCTTCAAAGAAAGCAAATTACTATCCTTTCCAAAACGTTTCAAGCAGAGGGCAAACTAAAAAACTGAGGAATTAACGAAGTTCATAAACTCTAAAACGTCTTGGGCCGTTATTAACCTTTTTTAAAGTGTTCTGAAAGAAGATTTTGCTAACGGAGAAAAAAAAAACTCTTCTGGATTATATTAAGTGTAATATTTTGCTGCAAAGAAAACAGTAATAAAGACAATCAAACAAACAAACAAAACACTATGAGCACGACTTTTTTAAGCCATATCTCCCAATGAAAGCACACTGACAGAAAAATTATAGTAAAAAAAACTTCTGGTTTCCTTGGATCATACGTGGAAATTACTTGACTAAGGAATATTTCACTCTTCCCCCTCGTGAAAAAGTTGTTTGGATTGTGCAATAGCAAGTTAAAAAGGGTCTTAGGTCATCACAAGATTAAAGCTCAGCTGCATTTCTGAGGTCATCATGGGACTATAGCTTATCCAGCAAGTAATGAATCTTTCACGTCGTTTTGTCTAAATATATAAAACAGTAGCAAAAACTTACTCGCGCTCATTGACCAACTTCTTATAAAACAAACACTACAAACTACAAAAGCAAACAAACAAGCATTCACTCTGTCTAGAAAACAACATCCCACAAACTAACAGGAATAATAAAAACAGAACAAAAAATTAACAATGAAATACTGCCAAAGAAATAACATACGAGAGATCAAACTGTGTAATATCAAAATTCAACAAAAAATACATGAGAAACACCACCAGCTCTGAAATGAAAAGAAGTACACATATACCTGTAAAAACATATAAAACAATACTCTAGAAACGTAAGTGCAGATATACTTGTAGAAACATATAAAATAATACTCGAGAAACGTAAGTGTAGATATACCTGTAGAAACATATAAAACAATACTCGAGAAACGTAAGTGTAGATATGCATGTAGAAATATGAAAACAATATTCGAGAAACGCAAGTGTAGATATGACTGTAGAAACACATAAAACAATATTCGAGAAACGTAAGTGTAGATATGCCTGTAGAAACATATAAAACAATATTCGAGAAACGTAAGTGTAGATATACCTGTAGAAACATATAAAACAATACTCGAGAAAGGTAAGTGTAGATATATCTGTAGAAACATATAAAACAATATTCGAGAAATGTAAGTGTAGATATGTACCTGTAAAAATATGTAAAACAATATTCGAGAAATGTAAGTGTAGATATGTACCTGTAAAATTATGTAAAACAATATTCAAGAAACGTAAGTGTACATATGTACCTGTAAAAAAACGTAAAAGAAGGTTCAATCTTCTTGGATGGCAAGAAACAAGAACACTTATATACACACCCGTCCTATGTAAGAATAAACTTATTCGAAGTCCTCCTGGCCTAGATTTAACGAGAGGAATTTGGCCAAGTACTATATATAAGAATATCCAGTCAGATTTATTGCAGGAGGAGAGGGTGTCGGCTTTTAAGAAGAGGCAGTTGTATTAACATAACATTTTTTTATGCACTGTTAAGCACCCACTGATGCAACGTAATCTTTATTTATAAGTTAATTAACAACTCACCCAGAGACGTATCGTAAGCATTGATGTATTCAGACGTAGTAAACTGTGTGGTTAGGCATGACTTTCCAACATCTGGACTTCCTATTATTAGGACCCTGTGTTTCATCGTCTCCGTCACAATCACGGGTGGCACAATTTGTCTTTCACATGCTGGGCCAGGGGTAACGGTCGAAATTGATGCTACAAAAGTCAGGCTCGCGGTCTTTGTCGTCTCCTCATCTGGTTTTGTCACTTGCTCTGAGTTGGGTTTATTAGAAGAAATGTTTAAAGTGCTGCGAGATTTGGATCGGAAAGAGTCACCTCTATTTATGACTCCCTTAGGAGTTACGGAGAAATTTCGAAGACGTTGGTAATGCACTGCCTCTCCTGGAAGAGGAAGGGAATAGTTTGAGGAGGTTCGGGCAACAGTTGTACCCTGTGATGCAACTGCTTTTTCTGTAGGGATGCTAGAAATTCTCTGCCTAAAGCGACTACCGGGGTCAGTGGGATCATAAGGCTGTGGTCGACGGACGGTTCGCATAGATTGGGATCTACCTATAGAACCGTTTGGTTGTCGCCTCTCCGAGTTGAGATTAGGGCTACAAGGTTGGGATCCAGCATCGTTCTCAGAATCCTCTTCCGAATCCTCCACGGTGAGTGTGATCCCTGGACCTAAGCATAACGAACCGGTGCGACCATTTCGGCACATCCCTTCCATTTGTGTCATACGCAAGAGGTCAGGGGCACTTTTCGGAAAGGAAGCATAAAGTGTAGGACCAGATTCGTCTCCTCCTGTGGCCATGGTTTCTTCTCTTAGCTCCAGGCACAATAACTTTCCTGCCTTTCTTCTTAAAAATTCACACAGCTAAAGAATTGCGTTTTACCTTATTTCAGCCTTCACGTCAGCAATGTGTTTCTCTGCAATGTTTTCTGTTTATAAGCTTGAGAAGTAAGAGTCGCCAGGATCTCTGTCTTCTAAAATTATAATTGGCCAACTAACGGCCACGTGACACGAGTCCTGCTTTAAAAAATGTCAATCTAACCAACTTGTTGAACAGTTCTTGCCAAATTTTTAGTTGCCAAATATTTTTTTAGAAGTAACGGGCGGTTCCCTCTGGTGGTGTTTAAGTAAACTGACAGTGAAATCGCAAGAATTAATTTGTGGTGTAATAAAATCGTAGACATTTGGACTGATTTATATGATTAACAATATTCAGTGAGCTTTTAATTGTTTCGCTATTTAGAAGTATCTCTAAATATAAAAAAAGAACATCCACAACGAGGTTGGTTTGGTCACAAAGCTAAAGATAACTAATTATAAGACTTTAAGCACGTATAACGGAGCGTTTTAAAAACATCGTACCTCGCTTTGCACCAGGCAGCATTATGAAAGTAACGGGAAAAAATAATTGTAAATTAAACAATTAAGTTGAAATTATAGAATGAATGACTGGGTTCTAATCATAAAGGCCTGAACAGGGCATTACGTATTGTTGAACTTTAACTAATACCAAGGTGTGTAAAGAGCTATACGTGCTATTAACTACAAAATAGACTGAAAATCTTGATACACAAACTTGAACTATAAGTATTTTGTTTCTTGTTAAACACAAAGTCACAAAATGTGCTATCTGTGCTGTACCCACCACGGGTATTGAAACATGGTTTTAAACGTTATAACACTTCAGACTTATCTCTGAGCCACTTGGACTAAGTAACGCCTTTAAGCTCTGAGTTTGGTATTACTGAAATGAGTCGTGAGAAATAGAAATGAATTGCACAATGAATATTACTTCTAACTGTTCGCGTTATTCTGTAAATTAATCTGAGTAATTATGACACTAAACAGAATGTTGACTATTACTGTAAACATTTTCTAATTTTAAAGAGTGATTGTTTGTAATTAAGCGCAAAGCTACACAAAGGACTATCAGTGCTCTGCCCACCACGGGTATCGAAACCCGGTTTTTAGCGTTGTAAGTCCGCAGACATACCGCTGTACAACTGAGGGGCGTTTTAAATAGTGAAGTGTAATAAAACAACGTTCTCGAATGAAAACAAGATAGATAATATACTTAAATCGCTAAATGTTATTCAGAAATTATACTGTTTCTGACTATAGAGGGGGTCGGTTTGTTTGTTTGTTTGAAGTTAAGCACAAAGCTACACAATGGGCTATCTGTGCTCTGCCCACCACGGGTATCGAAACCCAGTTTCTAGCGTTGTAAGTCCGCGGACATATCGCTGTGCCACTGGGGGGGGGGGCTAGAGGGGTCGGGCGTGATTCACTGGTTTAGAGACCAAGTCTGTGAATCCGCGAATTCACGGTTCACGTTCCGTAGCCGCAAGAAAGCGCTACAAGAGTAACTGTCAAATCCCACTATTCGGTCAAATAAGGGTATTCCCAGAGATGGCGGTGGATGCTTTTGACCAGCTGCTTTCCTTGATCCTTCTGGTCTATTAGTTCAACATTAGGGATGGTTTTGAGCAGATATTGTGTAGCTTTGTGTGAAAATTGTTAAACAATTCTAATTCTAGCGAAAAGTAGAACTAATGTTGTTCATTGGCACATTGCCAAACTGTTCCAAATTCTTAATAATTCACAATCAATTAGTTAATTACTAGTTGAAACTTCCAAACCAGGTGTCAAGAATTTTATGAAATATTACACTGGGCAACAACAAAAAAGTTTTCTCTGCTACTAGAAAATAAATGCATCTGTTTCTGAGTATATTAACGATGATGATTATAAAAATCATGTTGAAATCATTGATCGCCTCTAGTTTTCGAGTTATGATGGATTTATTCAAAATATTTTTACATATCATGAAAATGGCAACTTTTTCTTTAGTAACTTTATTTATTCCTTGAACATTGCATTTAAGAATGTATAATCTGCATGCTTTGATAAGTTTATTTCATGTTCACATCATGAGTAACAGGAATTGATGTTCCCACTGTGTAAAAGTATAACTTTCAGACTAACTTTAGATGAGTTGAAAAAAGTCTCTATTCTTGAGGAGGATGTTCAGTACCTAATTCTTCCATTAGCGCATCAACATTTGTACAGAAACACAAAATGTATCTTGGATGGTGTAGTGAGAAGCAAGGCTTTTATAGCGACTTCGATAAATTAAGACTGTTTTTCTTGGAGCTAATAAATTCCATTGCTGTAAACGAGACCCAAGAAGTTCCCCATGCTGCTTTGATAGAGACAAGTCACGAATCAGATCATTTAGCTTTTCTTTTGTAGTCAGATGGCGAAGTTTATGTTGAGGTGCCACATGAATAGAATTACTGGATGAAGAGGATGAAAATGATTCATTCACCACGGGTATCGAAACCCAGTTTCTAGCATTGCAGACATATCGCTGTGCCACTGGGAGCTCAACAGAATTGTCTGATTCGATATTGTGGTATAGCTAACCATTCTTCCCTCAGTGCTTATCTGAGTTGCTGTTGCGTTTCTGGTATGTGTGGACACTGACACAAATGCTTGCTCGGTAAAGCCCAGAGATTTTCCATGGGACTTAAATCTGGGCTCATTGCTGGCCAGGAAAGGAAATTAACCTCGCTGTTCTCCAGAAACTCAGTACAGGCACGATCCTTTGTCTTTCTGAAAATCTGCATCGGGCCCAATTTGATCCAGAAAAGGCAGAATCACCAGCTGGAGAATTTCATCCCGATGTCCCCGAGAATTGAAAATTCCACTCAATAAATAGAAGTCCTGTTCGGTGACTGGCAGAGATACCGGCCCATACCATTATTCATCTACCTCTCGTTTCACCTCCTGTACAACCTTTGTCTTCCATCGGCTCTGAAACATGGTAACCTTTTCTTGTTAGTAAAAATGACCATCGACCACCTTTGCAGCGTCCATCAAAGATGGGTGTGGCCCCATTGGACGCGGTTCTCTCGGTGATGGGCGGTAAGGACCACACCTGTGTAAGAACGGTAAGGTCGAGTTCCCTCATGTCGCAAACGATTGTGGACAATTCTGACACTTGCAGGTCTGTTTTATGTCCCAATGGTGACAGCAGCTGTGTGGGAAGAGGGCTGGAATTGGTTGCGCAGATGCACCAGTGATCCGTCGGTCTTGACGACGGGTAGTCACGCAAGGTCTTCCTGGTTTTGGGCAGTCTGCTGAACTTCCAGAATCGTCGTACCGCTGGTGTAAACGCCCAACCGTTGAATGATTGACATTCAGTATTCCGACTACTGCTCTGATGCATTTAACAGCTTGGAACATATCAACGGCCCTATCTCTTTGTGATTGAGTCAGTCGTGGCATAATGCATGCTGTGAATTGCGTTTGTTTCTTCTTGCCTTTTTAACGACAGGGGTCACACCATTTTGAGGTGTGGTCATTAGGATGGTTGTGTTGGCTCATGTGTGAACAACGGACAACAGCAGATTTGTACACTTCATTTGGCTCACCAAAACCACTGAAGCGTAACCGTCAACACTGCCTGTTTTATTTGTCGTATTTCATTGTTTAACTCACCAAACAAGCCTAATGCCATAATTTGGAGAACTTTTGTTTTCCAACAAAAAATAGAAAAGAAACTAACAAAAGTGGTGCGTTTTTGATTTATCTGAGTGTAGATTGAAAGGAGATCTTGTTTTTGAAAGTTCATACGCGTTTTGTAAAACATGGGATATAGCAACAAAGACGTATATAGAGTTTTCCTCAAATCAAGACATAAATCAAACTTTTATTTTACGTTCGAATGTATACGGAAATTATTGACTGTCCACGACTCAATGAATTTAGTTCTTTTTCGTCATGATTTTTCATGTTCACGAAATATAAGAATGGGACATGTCCTTAATTCGCCAACATTTGTTTACTTTAGATATATTAAGTTCAGATGAAGCACAGCTTTTCTGGAAATCAAAATATCTTGTTCTCACATAATAAATACTGTTCTGAACTCATATAACAAAGATTGTAAACAATGTAATTATATTAGAATCTTCACTGATAGTTTTCCATGCGACTAAGAACACAAATGTATGGTGAAAACTTAAGAAAAATTAGTTGTGTATATAGCCAGGTCAGAGACCCCTAAGCTTTACGTATAGCTGCTATTAATTTTGAATTTCTGACCATAGGCAAATAAGCCATCCACATCACCCGTAGCCACAAGGGATTTGCTCAACCCTTTAAACTGAATAACGGCATTTACTATCACTTTGCTAACGTGACCAGAGCACGTTCAGAGGCATCATATCGGACCCTTCAACCTGCAACCAGAAACGCTAACCAATGAGTATCTATACATGTGTTATAAATCATTTCTATACGATAGTTGACCTAAGGTGTTACGAAACTGTCTATACATAACTGTCTTGATCCAGAATTGTGTTTGTTTTGTTTATTTAACGTCGTCCAAAGCTACTCTGGCCCGGCAAGGCCAGGTAGTTAGGGTGCTCGACTCGCAATCTGTGGGTCGCGGGTTCGAATCCCCGTCACACCAAACATGCTCGCCCTTTCAGCCGTGGGGGCGTTATAATGTAATGGTCAATCCCACTATTCATTGGTAAAAGAGTAGCCCAAGAGTTGGCGGTGGCTGGTGATGACTAGCTGCCTTCCCTCTAGTCTTACACTGCTAAATTAGGGACGGCTAGCGCAGATAGCCCTCGTGTAGCTTTGCGCGAAACCCATAACAAACAAAGCTACTCGAAGGCTAACAGTCCCTAATTTAGTAGTGATAGACTAGAGAGAATGTAGCTAGTCAATATTACCAACCGCCAACTCTTGGGATACTCTTTTACCAACAAATAGTGGGATTGACTATCACGTTATAACGTCCTTGTAGCCGAAAGGGCGAATATATTTGGTGACGGTATTCCATCCCACGACCCTAACCAGATCATGCCAAACCGAATCGGGTACCCTAATC